TTTTTCAGTAAATTTGCCAAGTTGTACAACCATCATCCTAAATCAATTTTATAACATTTTCATCATCCCCATGAGATCCTTCATGCCCATTAACTGTTAATTCCTGTCCCCACCCTGGCAACAACGAACCTGCCTTCTGTCCCTATAGGTGTGTCTTATCTGGTCATTTCATATAAATGGAATCATACACTATGTGGCTTTTTGTGTCTGGCTTCTTCCACTCGGCATAATGTTTTCAAGATTCTTCCATATCGTATCATGTATTAGTATTTCATTCCTTTTTACGGCTGAATAATATTCCATTGTATAGATAGACCACAGTTTGTATATCCATCAGTTGATGGATGTTCAGGTTGATTTCGCTTTTTGCCTCTTACAAATAATGCTGCTGGGAAGATGGAAAACACTTTGCAGGACCTGAACACTAGGCGCAGCTCTCTCCTGGCCAGAGCTGCTAGTGTTGTTGCACAGACTTGACCCCAATGGGCTGTGTGACCATAGACTAGTCCCTTCCCTTCTCTGTTTGAGTCTTCCCATCCTTCCAGAAAGGAGCCTGGACCCTTTTCTGCACAGACATTCTGTGCCTTGTCCATATTCCTGGAAGAGCAGGGAAGTGGTCAGAGCAAATGATAAACAGCCTGTTTATTGCTGGAGCCAAAGGTAGGCATCCTGTGATTAACCACCAGAGCCAACAATTTTTTTTAGAATGAGAAAGGCCTGGCTCCAGAACCCTTGATTCCCCCCTGGGTACCCCTACCTGCTAATCTCTTCTCCCAGAGGACCAAAACCCCCTCCCACACTTGGTGCAGACAAGTAGGCTGCAGGCTTCAGAACCTCATTGCAGGGAGGGAATTTGGGGACAGCCTCTGAGTCCTGGTCCTGTTTCCTGCCTCTGCTCCCTGGGTTCCTGGAGTCCTGCCCAAACCCGATTGGGCTCAGATCCAGGAAAGCAAGGCTGAAAATGCAGGGACCTGGCCAGGGGTTTGAGCTGGGGCCGGGAGGACTCATTGCTGGCCTGGCTGGTCCCCCATCCCTGCAGCCCATCCCAGAGACCAAATCAATACTGTTCATTTGGGTTCAAGACTGTTTAGAGGATGTCTGCTGGCTTAGCCAGGCACTGGGGTCCACAGACCTAGTCCTGGGCCTCCAGAAGCAACCAGTCCAGAGGCTGGAGGTAAGGGTGACAATAAATTATCCAAATAATAATTTAATAACATAAAATATATATTAAGTGGCTGTTATGTGGTAGGTGCTCAATTACTTTCATCTCCATTTTAGAGATAAAGAAATGGAGTCTCAGAGAGAGGAAGTGATTTTTCCAAGGCCACTCAGCCAGGTGGGAATAATAACACTACTGCTCAGAGCCAAGTCCAACCGGCTTATAAATAAATATAGTGTTGTGAAATAATAAAAGCAATAAAAGTTGATCTAAGGGCCTTAAGAATTCACTGAATTCCCTTTGCCGCCTTTCAGTGACCCACCCCCATCTTACAGATGAGGAGACTGAGGCACAGAGGGTTTAACTCATGTTCAGGAGCTCCCCAGTCAGGAAGTGTAACCCTGACCCTAAGGGCTTCAGCGGGTCTGGAAGAGAAAGCAGTCTTGTGGGCAGGGCTGGGAAGGGTGGGTCACACTGCATTAGCACAAGTGCTATTTGATGAGTGCATGTGCCAGGGCAGGAGGCCTGGCAGCCTCTGACCCTCCCAACGCAGCCCTGAGCAGCGGACACCCCCCTCCAGGATGCAGTGAGGCCTCTGCCTGCATTTTCTTCTTTCCTAAGCATCCTCAGGCTGAGAGGACGGGAGGGGAGAGCACTTTCTGGGGTCCAAAGAGGGGGTGCCCGCCTTAGAATAACAGCGCTAAGGACTGTACAATAGGTGGGTGCATAATTCATGCATCTGTCAGCAGACATCAATTATGTGGGCCTTCCCTGGAGTTGTCTGGGGTTAGAAACTGGAGCAGGCTTCCCCTGCCAGCCTCTGGGGGAAATGAGATCTCCCAGCTCTTAAAGGAACAGACTCCCCAGGAATCTGCTCCATTCTCCTGCAGCTGCCCTCAGGGCCAGGAGTCAGAAACTGTAGCAGCTCCACTGCAGGGGCTCAGCCCCGAGGTCCCAGCTGGCTGCTCTGTAAGGTCAGACCCACTCTGTGCCTAGCTCTGTGCTAACAGCTCTTTTCCCTCATTCTACAGCTCCTGAGGGGCTGACTGCTGGTATATCCCAGAGTTTCTCAACGTTGGTACTATTAACATTTGGGGCCTGATCGTTCTCCCTGGTGGGGACTGTCCTGTGCATTGTATTTAACAGCATCCCTGGCTCCACCCTCCAGCTGCCATTATCACCCCTCCTCCAAATCGTGACAACAAAAAATTTCTGCAGGATTTGCCAAAGGTCCCCAAGGGAAGGGGGAGGGGTCAAAATCATCCCCAGTTAAGAACTACTGGAGGATCCCCATTTTACAAATAAGGAAACTGAGGCAAGGAAAGTTGCAATGCCCAAGGCCACGGGACCCATAAATGGCCGTGAACTTGAGCCACAGCCAAGAAACACCATGAAAACCTGTTGCCCTAGGCGCTGTGGGTGCAGAGGTGAATCTCAGAATCCATCCCTGTCCCCCCAAAGCTTACAGATTCTGGGCAGTGATGGACACATTTACACACACACACACACACACACACACACACACACACACACACACACACACACACACACACACACCTGTAATAGGCTGTAGTGTGCTAAGAACCCCAACGCTGGCAAAATGACGAGGGAGCCCAGAGAATGGAGTGGCTGGCCCCTCCAGGGATGACCTCTGCAGGGAGGGGCCATGTGGGCTGGGTTTTAAAAGATGGATTGGAATTCACTGGACAGAGAGGAAGAGGCACAGACCTGCAGAACTGACCAACGATAGTGTGTGATTAGGGAAGCGTGAAGTTTGGGAACCTGTGGCAGGAGAGGCCAAAGAGAGGGGGTCAGAGTCAAACTCAGAGAGACTCGGCAACCATGTGTCCTGATCGGGGATGTATTGCAGGGGACAGAACCCTCTCACGCTCACCCAAGCAGCAGCGGCATTTACTTTCAGGATACGGCAGGCAGTTTCAGAACAAGGGCGAGAAGCAAAGACTAGCTGGCCCCTCGGAGGCTGGGTGTTCTAGGCTGACAGGGTGTGGGCTGAGCTATTTCCCCTGTGATGACAGCTAACATTTATTAGACATTCACTAGGTGCTGCTGGAACCTGTCCTGAGTGCTTTGCATGTGTTAACACATTTAATCTTCACAGCAGCTCTCTGAGATAGATATTGTCATTATCATCCCATTTTGCAGATGAAGAAACTGAGGCTTAGAGAAGTTAAATGCCTGACTAAAGGTAAGGAAGTGGAAGCACTGAGACTTGAATCCAAAACAGCCTGACACCAGAGCCCAAGCATTTAACTGTGGCCCTCTACACCCTTTTCAGGTCTCCTGTGTCCTCTCTGCTTCTTCTCTCTGCCACTTCCCTTTAATTTCTGGCTTCTCTAAAAGGTTCAGCTTTCTCAGATTTTGTTATGGTTTTTCTGATCCCCTACAACGTGAGTGAAAAGTTGCTTGAGGCTTGGGCTTATCGTGAAGCTGGTTCAGGCCTGGACCGTACTTGACCATTTAATTCAGAGGCTCACCACCCCCATAACCCACTCACCCCTGGATCCCTGAACTCAAATCTTCCATGGTGGACCGGTTCAGCCCAGCCTGGGTTTTCTGTCCATCTCTGGCCACTCAGCGGCAGCCAGGATCAAATGATACAAGCATGGAGACCCCACCCCCACCCGCTGCCCTTTAGCAGGGGCAGCAGAAAGGGAGGCACAAGTCTATGAGAAGAGGACAGCTTTTGGGGGGTGGGGAGGAGGGCTGATAGATAAGTTTAGGAGTCTAGATTTTTTCCTGAAGAGTCCTGGAGATTTATTGAGCAGGAGAGTGATGTGACTGGATTTGTATTTTTGAAAAAAAGACCCTAGAGCAATTTATTACATCTGCTTGCATTTCTGCATAAGCTGTAGATTAGCCTAGGCTCCATTAAATTCAACAAACATCCAGTGAGCCCAAACATCTGGACCAAACCCTCTTCTTGATCCAGGGGACTCAAAGGTAGTTAAGCTGTGATCCTTAGCTTCAAAAATTCATAGTCATACTCAGGAGTTAATAACATGAGACCAGGATGTCTAGGCCTCCCTGAAAATCATCTGCAAAACCTTGAGTGTTTAGCAAAAAGGTCTGTAGCTTTCATCTCATTTCTAACACATTCTTAAGAGCTCACGTATTGGGGTCAGACAGACCCAGGTTAAAATACTGGCTCTGCAACTTACTAGCTTTGGAAGCCTAAGTTTCCTCATCTTTTCATTGGAAGTACAACTTAATGGGGTTGTTGTAAGAATGAAATAAGGAATTGCATGGAAAGTGACAAGCATCGTGCCTCGAATACAATGAACGCTCGATAAAGGGTAACTATTGATATTATCATTAGTATAATGTCGGGAAAGCGGTAACCCACCCCATAATAGTTATGAACCACTGGTCTAGATCACGAGATGGCCAACTATGGCTTGCAGCCCACTTCCTGTTTTTGTAAATAAAGTTTTATTGAAACAGCTATGCTCATTTGTTTATGTATTATCCAAGGCTGTTTTCATGCTATAACTGCAGAGTTAAATGGTTGCAACAAAGAATTCATGGGCTTCAAAGTCTAAAAGATTTACTATCTGGCCCTTTATAGAAAAAATTGACTGACCCCTGGGCTTGATGATTAGCTTTAAATCATTTCAATTCTCTGGGCCTCAGTTTCCATGTCTGTATGATAAATGGATTTGAATAAATAATCTTTTTAGCTCAAACATCCAGTCATTAGGTAATTAGTGAGCTATGAAAATGCTCTTGAATGTTGAGGAATGTCCTGCAGACCCAGAGTATTAGGATGACCATGCCATTGGTGGTTGATAATTAAATTCCACTCTCTTCTCCTCACAGATCCTTGCCATAATTTCCATCATGTTCATCGTCCTCTCCACCATTGCCCTGTCTCTCAACACACTGCCCGAGCTGCAGAGCCTTGACGAGTTTGGCCAGACCACAGACAACCCCCAGCTGGCCCACGTGGAGGCCGTGTGCATTGCATGGTTCACCATGGAGTACCTGCTGCGGTTCCTCTCCTCCCCTAAAAAGTGGAAGTTCTTCAAGGGCCCGCTCAACGCCATTGACTTGTTGGCCATCCTGCCATATTATGTCACCATCTTCCTCACTGAATCCAACAAGAGCGTGCTGCAGTTCCAGAATGTCCGCCGCGTGGTCCAGATCTTCCGCATCATGCGTATTCTCCGCATTCTTAAGCTCGCACGTCACTCCACTGGCCTCCAGTCCTTGGGCTTCACTCTGCGGAGGAGCTACAATGAGCTGGGCTTGCTCATCCTCTTCCTTGCCATGGGCATCATGATCTTCTCCAGCCTTGTCTTCTTTGCCGAGAAGGATGAGGATGACACCAAGTTCAAAAGCATCCCAGCCTCTTTCTGGTGGGCCACCATCACCATGACGACCGTTGGGTATGGAGACATCTACCCCAAGACTCTCCTGGGGAAAATTGTGGGGGGTCTTTGCTGCATTGCAGGGGTCCTGGTGATTGCTCTTCCCATCCCCATCATTGTCAATAACTTCTCTGAGTTCTACAAGGAGCAGAAGAGGCAGGAGAAAGCAATCAAGCGGAGAGAGGCTCTGGAGAGAGCCAAGAGAAATGGCAGCATCGTATCCATGAACATGAAGGATGCATTCCCCCGGAGCATCGAGGTGATGGACATTGTGGTTGAGAAAAGTGGAGAGAACATGGGTCAGAAAGACAAAGTGCAAGATAATCACTTGTCTCCCAACAAATGGAAATGGACAAAGAGGACACTGTCCGAAACCAGCTCAAGTAAGTCCTTTGAAACCAAGGAGCAGGGATCCCCTGAGAAGGCCAGATCATCTTCTAGTCCTCAGCACCTGAACGTCCAGCAGTTGGAAGACATGTACAATAAGATGGCCAAGACACAGTCTCAACCCATCCTCAATACTAAGGAGCCAGCAACACAGAGCAAACCAAAGGAAGAACTTGAAATGGAGAGTATCCCCAGCCCCGTAGCCCCTCTGCCCACTCGTACAGAAGGGGTCATTGACATGCGAAGCATGTCAAGCATTGATAGCTTCATTAGCTGTGCCACAGACTTCCCTGAAGCCACCAGATTCTCCCACAGCCCTTTGGCATCACTCCCCAGCAAAACCGGAGGTGGCATGGCCCCAGAGGTTGGCTGGCAGGGAGCTCTGGGTGCCACTGGTGGTAGGTTTGTGGAGGCCAACCCCCCCCCTGATGCCAGCCATCCCTCTGCTTTCTTCATTGAGAGCCCAAAGAGTTCCATGAAGACCACCAACCCCTTGAAGCTTCGAGCACTTAAGGTCAACTTCATGGAGGGGGATCCCAGACCATTAGTCCCCGTTCTAGGGATGTACCATGACCCTCTTAGGAACCGGGGGGGTGCTGCGGCAGCCGTTGCTGGGCTGGAGTGTGCCACACTCTTGGACAGGCCTGTGCTGAGTCCAGAGTCCTCCATCTACACCACAGCAAGTGCTAGGACACCCCCCCGGTCGCCAGAGAAACACACAGCAATAGCGTTCAACTTTGAAGCAGGTATCCACCAGTACATTGATGCGGACACAGATGATGAGGGGCAAGTGCTCTACAGTGTGGACTCCAGCCCCCCCAAGAGCCTCCATGGGAACACTAGTCCCAAGTTCAGCGTCGGGACAAGATCAGAGAAGAACCACTTTGAAAGCTCCCCCTTACCCACCTCCCCTAAGTTCTTAAGGCAGAACTGTATTTACTCTACAGAAGCATTGACTGGAAAAACTCCCAGTGGTCAGGAAAAGTGCAAGCTTGAGAACCACATCTCCCCCGACGTCCGCGTGTTGCCGGGGGGAGGAGCCCATGGAAGCACACGGGATCAGAGCATCTGAACCACCTCCACACGGAGGAGAGACTTGTGGCAGGGTCCAAAGAGGAGTGCTGTTCAGCTTACCTGCCGTGGAGCTTTTCTGCATGACCTCTGAAACAGAAAGGCTTTGTAAAGCCCCCAGAAAGAAGAGAGACCAGAGAAATCTCCCTTAAAACCTTGAGAGCCGTTAACGGGTCCATCAGAGTGAAGTTGGCCAAGCCACAGGGTATGGCGCCTCCTTGTAACAGCTCCACGGCCCTCTTTGGAAGATGACAAGAGCAGAACTCACAGCCACCACTACCACGTTCTAGACATAACCAAGGCCACCTACTCCCCATTCTTCTCTCGTGGCTTTCCATCACAGCCTCTGAGGGCAAGATCGCCATCCCTCCTGGCTTCAGCTGGAGAAGGATGCCGGAACAAGTGGCTGGTGTTAAAAGAGTGGGTTGACCAATTTGGTTTTGGGTGTTGCCTGGCCACCTCTAGGAACTTCTGTCCATCACCTGCTGGATGGATCCCATTGTTAGAAGGCTACAGGGAATGCTTGTGTCATGGGGAAAACTGCACCATAAGCCACGATCCCAGCGCAAAACCCTTCCTCAAATGTCTTCATTGACTTCAGTATTCCGTAGTACCTGAGATTTTATTTTGAGATATCATCAGGGTGAGTTGCACCACTTGTACTCAATTCTAATTGCCCCCTGGCAATCTGGGAAGAGTTCAGAAGGCGGGCACTCAGCCAACAGTATGAACTCTGAGCATTGCTTTAGGGTTATAGAAGGAAAATGCTTTCTGTACATCGCTAGTGTAGACTCAAAAGATATGCAAGTGTCAAATATGCAGAAGAATAGCTTATTCAAAGAGACTGTATGTTACCGAAGAACAGAATAAAATCTGATTTTTTTTTTTTACCTGAAAAAAACGAAAGGAAAAAAAAAAAAAACCCCATTTGAAATGCCCAGTTCAGACTTTTGAATACTTCCTGCTGGGGCAGGGAAAGCATTTACTATAATAGAAATTCTTTTTTGTTTCCTGTGATATTCAAGTTTGAAAAAAAAAAAGTTAAAATAAAAAGCACTTTATGTTTTTCAAAAATAGGTTCTACCAGGGACAGTGTCAACATCTTGCACTTTAAAACAAGCATGATTTCCCGTGGGCCACTTGTTGGGACTACAGTTGGGTTTTTGCTCCAGGCATGTGTCTGGCCACGGTGAGTGATACTGTGCTGGTATTGCTGTCTGCTGTGTCAAAGTCTGTGGGCTCCTTCCCTGCCCCCCTGAAGCTTCCCCTTAACCCTCTTGCATCAGGAAGGGTTCTTGGCCCCTGCATGGGGCCTCTTGTAAAGTCATGTGTACAGGAAACAGGAACATCTCAGAAGAATGAAGTAGACGGTTGGGCATTGGGTGTTTTACTCTGTTCTCTTTCTTGTCAACCAGGTGTTGGTGTGTTTTCAGTGTCACTGTCTGTACTAACAGCTCAGCTCTCCTTTCTGCAGCCATCAATGCAGCCAGTACCGACAAAAGCAATAAGTATTTGTGTGCATTGTGAGCGGTTCTGGTCTATCTCTTGGTGTTGGTCTTCCTGTCTTAGTTTGATGACCTGGCGTTGGCCTGCCTGATTTTAGTCCAACAGCATGTTGGTGTTGGCCGTTCCTCAGGGCAGTAACACTGAGTGGAGCCGCTGGTTAGCAGGATGCCAAGCTGTTGGCCCATGTGTCAGTAAAGATGACACATTATTGATCTGCTTGTCTTTAGTACAATGAACCGATGTTGTTCTCCTAATACAATTTTGAAGGATGATGTCCCAAGTACGATAGTGTAGATCTGCCAATCCTCCATACAGTGCCAGGCATGTGTCTTCCTGATGGAACAAAATATGGTTTCCCTGTCCTTCATGGAATATGTTGTTGGTCTGCCTGTTAGTACAATGGCACAATCCACCTGTCAGTGCACAGACATCATGGCGTCATTCTGCCTGCGCTCTGCACAGTGGCATGAGGTTGGGCAACCTGTCACAGGTATGATGACGTGGGATCATTCCACTGCCCTTAAAAACGCGTGTTCTCTGCTGCGTATACACCCGGTTCATACTGCTTCTCAGCATCTCCGAGGATTGTAGATCCCTCCAAGAGGGTGCAGTCCTGTTTTTTGCTGCATTAACAAAGTATCTTGACTCTGGGAGTTTCTTCGGAGTACTCTCGCAGCAAATGCAAAGGGATTTAAGGGGCAGGGAGTATGAGGTCAGCCTGTGCTGGCGGCACACCAGAGAGAGGAAGCTCCCAAGGTGCTTTACTGAGCATACAGTACAAGCTGGGGGCCTGTGGAGGAAAGGCCGCAGAACAGTCCTCCCTGGGCCATCTCACGTCTCTTTGTTTCCATCACCATTTACATCCGCCATCAGCACAAATGTGAAAATTCAGGGAAAACAAACAAATGCTTTTTGATAAAAGTAAATAGTTGTGATTTCCGATTCAGATTTTTTAGAGCTGATGCTATCTGTAAAAATTAATAATAATAATATAGTCTATTTTACATATCAGGAAAGTGAACATGTTTAAATATAGCCATATATAGCGAGAAGGAACTTACCACCCCTTCTTCAAATCGAGGCATTTCATTTGCTGGTTGAAGCAGACGAGAAGTGTACAGATTAGAAATGATTTCTTTCTTTCTTTTTTTTTTAAACGAATAACCAATTGGTGCAACTCTCCTTGTCTCTAACCAAAGGCCCTTTCTGCCTTGTGTGGTCGTGCAGGACCTACCCCTTCCTTCCTCATGTATTTTGTCTGAACTTAAAGTAGCATTTTATTGAGTCACTTTTGAAGGATGAATTCAGAAGTATCATTAAGAACCTACCTTTTCAGGCTTAATAGCCAGAGTCCTATAGAGTTCTTATAGAAACAGAATAACTGAAACTCAGCATATACTATGCTTAGAAAGTACTGCGTTTTGTTTTGGGTTTTCCTTTTACTTGTGGATGTATTGTAGGAATATAGCTTTTACCCTGTGCCGATTCAAAATAGAGTATTGTCAGTTCTCCCAGGCCCCCACCTGCCAAAAAGAAACATACCCAGATTTTTAATATGTGTACACCCTACCTGTACCTGTGTACGCGCACTGGGATATCTACCTGAGTCTCCAGTGAGAAGCTAACCTTGATAGACGGGTGTTGATGGAGGAGAGGAAAGCAATGGTTTGGAGGCAAATACTGGCTTTAACTTGATGGTCCACGTACCACCCATTCCTAAACCAATGAAAGTGGGGAAAAAAAATGAGTCATCCCAGAGAAATGAATCTAGGGACTGGAGGTGAATGGATGCCTGGTCCCTTTGGCAAGTTCAGTAAAACTCATCAAGAACCCCACCAAACTTACACCATTATCAAAAAGGGCTAGGGACCAGGTAGCTCTGTGTCCTGATCACACAGGGGACTGTCCACGACCCGCAGAGAGAGGTGGGAGAGCTCTGGGGGAGTCCTCCGTTTATTCACCTTTTTATCTTGGGGTAAAGAAGCAATAGGACTTCGGTGCAGTAGATTTCTCAGTGCCTTCTTTAGGAATTTTACCTTAAGCACACTTAATGGGGAAAGAAAAAAGAGGAAAGAACATTCATTCCCGTGAAGCCCCTTTCTCTAAAAGCACTGGGGGTCAAGAAAGGAAGACGATGACGATGGGGAAACGGCAAAATCCTGAGGAGGCCATTCCCTTTCAACCCACCTGGCTTCTGCCCCTTTGAATTGCTGGTGATACAAACTTTTTCAGACTGATTCCTGACCTCTCCTCCGCCGTGTCTTAGTAACTGTAAGCCTCACCCCTGCCCTTTCTCTGAATAAGATCCACGTTTCTGAGCAGAAAAAACAGAACCGTATTCTCTTCTGTAAAACTGTAATGTATTGTTGATGTTTGTAACTGTTGTATATTTCTGTCTTGCTCCAAGTTATGGCTGGAGTGTATAGTCCATGGGCAGGGGGAAATTTAAACTTCACCATGGACAAGGGTCACTAATGCCAGGTGTCTCTCTCTCTCTCTCTCTCTCTCTCTCTCTCTCTCCTTTCCTCATTTCTCTGCCAACTAGTCTCAAGTAACACGACCCCGGGCTTCAGCCTCCAGTCAAGTAACTTTGAATCCAATGTGGTGAGAAGCCTCTAGCATGTGATCCTTTGAGAAAGGACTTTTTCTACTGCTGCGAAGTTGGCAGGCGTTAAAAGGGGGCTTCCCCTGACTCCCCCAGCAGGACAGTGGAGAACCTGCAGCCCTGAGCTAAAATTTCCTCGCCTCCCACTGCTTATATGACAGCATCCAAATGCTTTCACTCAACCCAGGGCGACTCAAACCAGCCCTGGCTACACCCAGAAATAAGAGTTACCTCTGCATTTTCTGTCGCCATTTTTCTGGCTCTAGAAGTATCTGATGCGTGACTACATCATAGGATGTCCACGCATCTCAGAGTAGTCTATTTTTCTGTTCGGATAAAATATATATATATGTATTTTTAGCAAATTTATAATTGGGCCATTGAGTCTAATTTCTTCTTTTGTAATACGGAATAACATCTTAGGGGTTTTATTGTTGGTCATAATCGCAGCTGATATCTTCTGGTCTCCTTCATTTCCTCCTGTTGCTCCTTGGATCGTTTTTTTTCTTCTTCTTTTCGTTTCTGATTTCCTGGAGGTGGGGAAAGACTTTGGGGTCTGACTTCCTCATGCAGGCATTTCCTGACACAAGGCCTAGAATCTGTTGACCTGTTACTTTCCTCATTCTGTCTGTTCTATTTATTGTTCTTAAAACTCCAGAACACAGATGCAGGAGTGAAACCAGGGGAAGCAGGGCTACAGATGGCCCTTAAAATCAGGATGGGATGTGGGATGGTTTAGCTCATCCTCCACGCCGTTCCGGGGATCTAAAGGGACTGAGTTTGTTCATTTCCAGAGATCTTGGAATGTAAAATCTCGTGCGAGAAAACCTCCCTCTGGCATTTCTGAGATTCAGAAGACGCCTAAACCCCTCTTGGCTGGCCTGTTGCCACGCCCAGCGCCCTGCTCTCCTGTGACATCAATTGGATCTGAAGGTCAGGGCACTTTCAGGTTCTTGCGAAACTTAGAGAAAATCCTGGGCCTCAGATCTCATCAACTTTTTATCAGCTCTTCATTTCAATCCATTTCCAACAGGCTTACCAAAAAACAGTGGCCAGACAAGCTTGCAGCCAAATCCTGAGAAGACGCGTCCCCAGAATCTGCCATCTCATCTCCCCTTCCCTTTCCAGTTGCCTGGCTCCATAGAGCCAGACATTCGTGGCAAGGGCAGTGGTATTTTTCCAGCTTCCTCCTATCCAGGCCTCGGGGAGTGTCTGGACTATCTTGATAATTAATTCCACCAGGCAGTTTCCAGGCCTCGGGTAGGCAGAGGACATCTCACGAAGCAGGATCTTCAGCAGGAAATGATTCTCCATCCATCAGCTCATGCAGGAAGATGACGTAAGCCCAGATCATCTCCATCTTGCATCTATAGATTTTCATATCCCACCTGCCTCACTGTCAGCTACAGGGCTCTGGCCTCTGCCCAGGTCAGAGATCTGAACCAAATCAGGACCCCCAGATGGCAGTGAGCCATCCCTGTTGGGTCAACCCCAAGAGGAAACCATCCGAAGTACAAATTCTGGACTGAGATTCTAATCAGCGTTTTCCCACCGCCCCCAAATTCCTTGTAATCTGGTTTGAACCAGAGCCAACTAAAACAGACAAGATTTTTTTAAACTACTGCACAAGAAGAACAACAACAACAAAATTGTCTCCCAGTCATTTGCTAGGTTTGATGCCCAGATAAGCAAACACCCTTGCCCATGGCCGTTTTCATCTAGAAGTTGTGTAGTCTGGGTTTCCATCCACTGACCTTGATATTGGCTTAACCTGGAATTTCTC